TTGAAAACAAGGAGTAGTCCTGACTATCATTTAACAGGTGACTGAGAAATGACTTTCTTAATTAGAAGTCCAAGGGTGAGAGACTCCTTTTCCCCAAAGCTCTGAATAAACACCAGCATCAGGTCAATCAGAGTTGTTCTGTCCCAGTGGTATCTTAAGCTGGTGACTCAAATTCCTAGCAGGCTTCTAGTTTAATATTTCTTGAAACCTTAGGCTTAGTCACACAGAATATAAGGCAAATAAGAATCTCTTTCTGTTAAAGAGGTAAGATGGATTTTAATTCAGAGCTTTTATTCCCTGAGATATAAGAAATTAAAAATTTTCTGGGGACAGTGAACCATGGTAAGCTTGTACTTTCAAATACAACTATTAATCCTATAAAAGAAGCATTTATTTCTATTTCCCAGTGTCTTCACAAAACCCTTTTCCCCCCAACTCTGTTAACTGAGAGTAGAAGTGAGGATGGGAAGGAGAGAGGAAGAATAAATGAATGGACAAATGGCAAAATCATTTTTCTAGTCAAGTTTCAACATATGCTGATGTTCTTCTAAAAAATCATTTTAACCAAACAAATAAGATGAATCTTAATTTACTTAACAAATAATTATCTATACTATCATCTTCAAGAACACACCATCTTAAAACCTGGCATAGTTTTTTTTGTTTTTTTTTAATTTAAGACTACTAAGGATATAGTGGGAACCAGTTTTTCATAACCCCAGTGAGTGATTTTTTCCCTCCATTTTTAAGTTGCCAACTTTTGAAATTTTTCAAATCTATTTCTTATTATATTACTGCTAAAGTTCTAGGCTAAATATCCTTTGCATAATTCAAGGTATTGATTTTAACAACATTCTAATGCAATTGTAAAATATTATCACACTTTAAATTTTTTTCTTCTGTTTTATGAATTTAAGGCAAATTATGTTTCATTTGTATTGATAACCCATAATACCACAAGTTTCGTAATACTTTACTTGTAACATTTGCAAGAAAGCATTAGTTCTATTTGAATTTCAAGGTTCTATGACTTGAGTATTTACTATTAACAAGTTTTAGAAATTAATGTAACTTTCTACTCCTCTCAGGGCCTGAAAGAAAACTTAAAACTAACTTTCATAGCTGTAGCAAAATGAAATAAACGTGTACTTCTAAATAAACTTCCAATCTTTAAAACCCTACATATTTCAGTATCCATCAAATTGAAAATTTAATTTCAAGTAAGAAAAAAATAGGTGTACAGCAATATAAATATTTTCAAGAAAACACAATAAGACCACAGGTCTCTTAGGTCTCAATTTTTCCCCCTACCTTGAATAATAAGATAATGTTCTTAAAGAAAGGATCTTTCTGTAGTTGTTTATCAAATTATCTCTATCAGAGGTCCCATAAAAGAATTATCCAGTTTACTACCCAAACCTCAGCACTACCACTGTTTTCCATGTTGTCAAAGATCCCTGGGAAACTACAGATCTTAAAAGAACAGATCAAAGAAAAGGTGATCTAATATTCATTCATCTTTTTCCAACTCCTGGTTTCATTGTGGTACCCATTTTTAATCCTCTATGTTGGATATACTTGAGATATTTGAAAATAGAGTGTGCTATGCACTAGTGGGGTACTTGTCCTTTCTCTCCCTCAAACAACCATTATTTATATACTATTGCTGGCCCCATAAGCAGGAATCCATTACCATCAGCAATTCATGTCCCCGCTTCAGCACCAGATGCAAACAGGATAGGGAAACAAGATCTCTCTCCTCCATTTACTTTTTGTTCAGTCCAACCTCTCCACATAATCCTCAGCTCCATTCTACTGCTCTGTAGGCTTCATCATCTGACACTTCTGGTTTTCACCTTCTAAAGTCTTGGTGATCATCCTGGTATTATATTTCTGATTGTTGTGTTATCTAAATCCTACTGAATGAGTTTGCTCCTCTCCCATCCCTACTGTCCCCTGAAAGGACTGCAATTTTAGGAAATGAATCCTGAACAATTCAAACCAGACTAAAATTCCAACATCCTGAAATTCACCCTATTGTAGTCTGTTGAAAATGTTTTCTTTATCTTTTCCATAGTAATCAAGATTTTTTTTTAAATAAAAACATTTCTCCAGTTGGAAGAAATAAGTACACAGGTCTTTATTAAGAATAGCAAATACCTTTTCTTTGGTCATTACCCAGGCAAAAGTAAATCGTTATTTTAAAAAACAAAATCCACTCTTGATTGTGTATCAATCACCTCAAAAGGCAGATAAAAAAGGCACATGAGTAAGAAACTTCACTCCACCACAGACAAAAAGCAAAGCTACAAACTAAGGCAATTTTCAAAGAGAAGAAAACATCCAAAGAAGCTGTTTAAGGGAAGGTGGGAGAGGGAAGGGGTAAAAGAAACCAAACTCTTCACTATGAACCTACACTTTAAAGCTGTGTCAAACAATCTAAAGTCTAAAAAGCAAAACTAACCCTATCGCAATTTAAACAATTTTCTTGATAAAAATTAGATGTTTTAAACTTAATTTGAACAGAATTATATTTTGAATTGATACACAAAATTATTATTCTTTCCAGAACACTAAAAATAATCTTCATGTTTTAAAATTAGAAAACTAATCCCTTTAAATTCATATATCCTCTGCCACTATAATTTAAAATTACGTGTCCATCATGGCCTTCTTTAGGGCCAGTATGCATGGAATCGACATGATCAATAATAATAAACTTCTTCCCACTCATCTTTCTAGCAAGCCAAGGAATGGCATATCTCCTTATCTTCCTATTTGTTCCATTAGATTGACATATTTTGCCTCATCTGTCACCTTTCATAAAACTCTGCTTTCAGAGATGAGTTAATTCATTTTTAGTTGTCCTCAATGTTCTAAAATAGTGATGTTTGACAGAATTAATACAGTGCTCTAGTTCTCTCTGTTCAACTGGCATTTAATTAAAGATCTTGGAGGCCATCTTTCTCTGAGACTACACTCTAAAGGAGGAACATTACTTCCTCCTTGGACACTCGGGCAACAAAACTGCCTCCCAGAGGTCTTGCATTTAGCGGACTGCTTAACTACACATCAACTACCAGCAAAATAGATAACTGCTGTATTGAACACAGATTTCACTCTTAAATCTCTGAACCATAACTCTTTATAGCTTATATTCTCTCTAACCTTATGAGATTCCAGAATATCTGTAGCTGTAACGCTCCCCTGTATTTTTATCATAGCTTTTGTTCTACCTGGATTTCAGAAAGACCTACTGGCATTTAATTTGTGAGATTTCTTGAATACCTGATAACAACACAGAAAATCTTTTGAGCAGTCAGAGCTACCTTGGAGCACAAGCTGAAAATTCCGTTTTAAATTCTTTTGAATTAATATCTTTTGGAGAATAGCCCACTCAACTTGGTATGTCACACTTTTCTATTCTAAAGGTGGCATGGATAATTCAAATTGGCACTTGCTATTTATTACTTAAATAATTGTTCTCTTGGATGGCCTTTTGAAAGCCTGCACTTCCTAATCATTTTTTTACTATATCAGACCACAAGAGACGTGTCAATTTAAACAAACTTCAGGAGCAATAAACTAACAAACAGACTCTAGGTGGTGGTATAGGTTATTTTTTTATCACGTTGTTTTGCTCTTCTATCTGCAAGAGACAGAAGGGCCTTTAGCCTCTACTACACATGTCTTTATTGTGAACTCACATGTTTTAGGATGTTTAAATTAGGAAAATGCAAGTTCTACAGAGTTTGAAGACGCATGTAAGAAGTGGTTTTAAATCAGTCATGTGTTCATAGGCATTAAGCCTGACTTTCAGCTACATCAAAGGCACCATAAGAACTCATTTGTGTAAAAACAACAAGGAAAAATCCTTTTTAAAAAATATAGACCTGCATGTACACACATCTAAGGCACTTCTAAGGGTAAATTTGGAAAGCAGTATTTCTTTACCAAAGTATGAAACAGCTTCAAGTAACCAATCCTATAGCCTGAAAGGTAGTAGCTGCTTCATTGATTGATTCTCCTTCTTTGTCTCCAGGAACTAAGTCCAAAGTTAACTATTGGTGATGTAGCCACTACTCCCTAAAAATATATAAACCCTATGGACATTACCAAATCCCCTGGGCAAACCCAGAACAACTGACTTGGAAGTTGAAACATTTCAACAAGCTCCAGGCAGCAACTCATATTTAGGGGCCAGTCAGATGAAGCACCATTTGTTTAAAAAGTCTACTCATTTCACTGTCTCTTCAACAAAGGTAGCAACTGATGATTAAACATTGAATAATCTCATCTGGAAGATGCCACCCACTTGCTAAACCCATGATTCACTAATAAGCAGGTTCAGTGCAATTCATAAATAATGAATTAGCAAAGTCCCTGGCTTCACAAGTTCCCCCAAGAAATAGAAAGTATATTCAGCATGGGTATATGTAACCCCATAATTATTTTTACTTTGGACACCTATAGATAGCCTCTCTTACTCTAGAAGTTTTCCCCTCACAATCCCACACTTAATTATTTACACCACAGGAGACAATCGTCAACCCAAGTTCCACCAAGTTAAAAGTTCTTGAACCTAAGTCTTAATTTTTCCCAAAATAAAACGTCCCATTAAAAACTTTTTTTAACGTATAAGCATTTGCAATTCTGCTTTTATTTTTTCTAACTACCTTCGGCATCCAATTAAATAACTAACCTTATAGAACATAGAAACTCATGGAATGCTTCAGAGATCAACATGTGTCACAGACTCCCAGCCTGTCCGCCTCCAAAACACAGTTGATTCCTTTGTTCCTTCAGACTGGACACCAACTCTTGATTAAAATTTAAGAACTACTTTGGAAAGGATGGAAAGTCTGTAGAATCTTTCCATAAAACCCTTCCTAAAACTACAATACTCAAAGAGTAGCGAGGACACCGGAGAGAGAGAAGCAGCCTCCCGGACTTCCACCGGGCTCACCCTACACGCGAGCCGGTTCCTGGCTCCAGGGTAGAACGAGGGCCGAGGCCTCGGGTCCAGGGAGCCTCACCCTCAGGAGGCGACGAGCAAGTGCCGGCAGGCCGGGCCTGAGGCTGAGAGCGATGTCCCTTTTCCTATTCACTTTTTTTCTGGCCGGGAATCGGCTGGCACAGGGCAGGGAGGCACCCGAGCGAAAGGCGGGGAGCTGTGCCCGGCGCCACCCAGGACGCTGCTGGGCAGCAGGATCGGCAGCCGCGCGGCGAGAAGCGCCCGGACTTGGGGCCAAAGGGACAGCAGAGCGGGGCGCGACCCCAGCGCGGTGGCGCGGCCACCCGAGTCGTCCCCGCGCACGGCGCAAACGACCCTCGGCGGTGGCCCCCCGGCCCAGGGCTGGCACGCACGGGCAGGCGAACCCAGGGCTAACTCTACAACTTGCGGCGCCGCTGCCCGGACCCCGAGTTCCCGGGGTGATCAGGACCCGGGAGGAGAGGTGGGATTTCCCCGCCAACGATTCCTCSCCGCCGCCGAGCCCTCCCCGCCGCCGGCGTTCGGCCCCCTCGCGGGCCGCGCTGCCCTCGCCGCCCCGACGCCCCCGCGGCCCTGCCGGCCAACGCCAGCGCCGCGGCGGGCCGCGCTCCGAGGCCGTTTCCGGCCGCGCCGGCGGCCGCTCCTCCGAGTCCCCCGCCCCCCGGTCGCGGTCGCCACTCACCCGAGGCCGCCGCGGCTCCAAGCCTCCGGCTCCGTCAGGCTCACTCCACGAAGGCGCCCCGCCGCCCCGTCCTTCCCCGCCGCCCGGCTAGCTCTTCCCTCCGACCAGCTGCGCTACCGAGCGCAGCAGCGGACGCGAGGCCACTGGCGGGTGCGCGCGGGCGGGCGGGCGGGTGTGGGGCCGGGTCGTCCCTCCGCCTTCGCAGCCGCCTCCTCCTCCTCCTCCTCCTCCTTCTCCTCCGCCTCCGCCGCCGCCGCTGCCGCCTCCCGAGTTCGGGGCTCTGCTGCAATGTCTGCGAGGCTGACTTTGAGCGCCTCGCTCGCCGCCCGCCCGCAGCCGCGCTCCTCCCTCCGCCGCCGAGTCCGCCGCGGCCCAGTCCCTCCCCTCGCCGCTCCACGCCATTCAGCTCTTCAGCCAAGTTTCTTAACCCTTTTTTTCCCCTCCCTCCCATTGTCACCCAGGCCGGAGGAAGCCTCTCGGGTCCCAGCAGCTCGCGTGAGCTGGGGAACCCCTTCTGTTCTGTTTTTTTTTTTTTTTTCCTTCCTCTTCTTTCTCGCCCGCCCCACGGATGGCTGGCCATGGTTTCAGGGCCCAGAGGCAGCGAGGGGACCGAGTTGGCCCGGAGAGGTGGGTGCTTGGCGCGCCCGAGCCGTCCTCTTTGGGTCCTGGCTCTGTCCAGCCGCCTGGACAGCTCCTCCCTGGGGGCCAGCGATCGTTCTCCTTACCCAAGCCCCAAGGCACGCCTTTGGAGCTCGGCACGGGGTCTGGGCTCCCTAGACGCTCCAGGTTCCCTCCCCACCTGGGTGCTGGCGCCTTAAGTGTCTCTCTCCTCCCATTTCACCCCACAGCACGCGTTCTCTTGGCTCCCTTTCACCCACCACAAAAATCCCTCTTCTTGTAATCTGTGTTCTGCTTTATTCTTGGGGTACACGGGCACTATAACGCTACGTCACTCTGTCCCCACGTACAGCACCGGGTAGGCACCCCGTAAAAAACGTGGAGTACTCGGAGAGGAAAACTAGGAAGGAGACCTGAGGAGCGCCCGCTCAAGCTCCCTGGACGGACGTAGGACCCAGGAGCAGGGTTTATCTTCTGCTGCTTTGTCACTGCGAAACCTCCAGCGGAGTCTGCCAGCCAATCTACACCATCCCCGGGAAGGATCTGACCCAGCTAGACAAGGCAAAAGGAACAGGGCTGCTACTTTTTCAGCAGCTCTCCTCGGTTCGGCATCCGAGTAAGAAATAACAATTACATCACGAGGCCGGGGCGTCTGCGCTGCGAAGAAGCCTCTAGGTTTCCTGCAGCCTGATCTCGCTGAACCCGCCTCTAAATTGGGGGGAGAGGGGGCTACGGATTGGTGAAGCGAGAAAGTGGAGGGAGGAGAGAATCTTAAGAAACCATAATTTCCTCTTCTCCTTGTATTTGCAGTTTTAAAAATCGTATCCTCAGCGCCCCCCAAAATCTAAGTAGAACTATTAACACCACCCCCCAACACCTCCCAGATGTCAGGTTTCTTTTTGACGCTAACATCTAGCATTTGGTAGCTCGCCATGAAAAAAATTACCCGGGGAAATGACTTCCGTTGCCGAAATTGTTTTTGCTTGACACCAAAACGATAAAGTACAGCTTAGTCTCACCCCAAACTCTGAAATGGCATGCCTGTGTTAAAACACTTACTAGAGGAGACAAACGAGTGGATGAGGCGCTCCATTCTTAATAGGTGTTCATATCCTTAAGCATTTGGTAGCATTCGGAAATAAAGAGTTGCTAGTGCACTTAAAAAACAAAAATTATCCAGTCATAAAACTGTATTCTATGCCTGTTATGTAATGGCTGTATTGTGCATTAAACATTTCACTTAACCTCTAAAAATATGAATGATTTTTGGAATGCTTTCTCAATCATGAAAGCAGTTTTTCAAATTAATTCTTCATAAATTTAGCTTAGCTAGCACAGTGCTGGGCACATGGTAGGTATAGTTTCCTTAATAGTGATGGCACATTTTTAAACACTTTTTTTACATCATCCTAGTGATTCAATTATGCAATCTGTTGCCATCTAATATAGTCTAAACCTCATATAATAGCATATTTGCATATATCACAGTTCGAAATCTGCTTAAGGCAAATTAGTAAAGGCTGCTGTTCTATAGTGTGTCATTTATTTAGGATTTATAAAAAGCAAACTAGTCCAATTAAATGATCAGCATTATTAGAACTCGGCCCTCTGGGATGGGGGTCTCAAACTTTTTTTTTTTTTTTAAAGCTTAACTGTTATACAAAGATATATTATAAATGTTAACATTTTCTTACACAGTATATTGGATTTTATTTAGCATTTTCTTGAAAAATCAGTGTTAATTTCATTAAAAGTAATTAAAGGCTATCGTGGACTCAAGAAATACTTTGATTTCCTATTTTATATCAGRCTTCTTCCCAAGTGTGAAGGATTTTCCCAGGCGGTATATAAGCTATAAATTGCTGCACTGAAGAACTCCAAGATGCTGTAACTTACTGATGATCTTTGCCATTTGTAGTTCTTCCCCATCTCCACCCCTTGACTGACAATCTGCTGTCCTTTCTCTGTTAACAATATTGTTGCATTTAGCATTGGCAGCTTCTACTCTGATAATACAGATAGCCTCACTTGTCACATTCTATCTAAAGTAAAATGAATGGATTCCACCTAAGGGAATGAAGTGCTCACCAAAGAGCAAGGTGCATGCACCTTGCTTGGTGCATAGACATTGGGATGGCTATTTGGACTCTCAAAAGTTGATTTTAAGAGCGTTCTTGCCTCTTAACCTACATTTGGATCATTGAGATTGCTCACCAAGCCAAGTATTGGTACCGCCTTCCAACATTAGTGTTAAAAATCCACTGCCATATGTTAGATGGCTTACCAAAGCTGCTCACTTATTAATTTATCTTCTCAACCTCTCAGAAATACAATCATTGAAATCCTGAGCTCTTTTTGATAGTACATTAGTGTTAAGTAAATTGTATACCCCTTGCAGAGTTCATCTTAATTTAATCATGTTAATTGTGTAGAGACTGTTTTGTCCTTGTTTGTTTTTTTTTAAATCAATATCTAAATTTCCAGCCTAAGAGAATCACTGCAAAGATATTTAGACATATATGTAATATAAGAATGCCTAGAGAGTAGTTTGTATTTTGAAACCAACTCCCATTTGAACCATTTGTGATGTGAAAAAGATGCCACTCAGTTTGTATACTTAAATATGTGAGTACTGTTATAAGCCTGTGGTTTCTATGAGATCAGATGCTATGTAGTTCAGGTTCAGTATGCCTGTCACAAAGAGTCTGAGAAAGATACACTTTGGATGTGTTTTCTAAATCTCTCCTGTATGGCATTTTCCTTACCATTTGAAACTGTATTTACTTGTCAGTATCCCATCCCAGTCTAAAATGTGAGTAGTACAGGCACAGGGTCCATTTCTCTCTTATTCACTTTTGGATATCTCTAACCATATATCCCTGTAACCGGAGATATTCAGTAGATATTGGCCAAGATGCTGTCAGCCCTGAGGACAGGGTATTGCTATTTGGAGTATGGATGTGGGGAGAAGTGCTGCAGTCTGGCTGGGCACAAAATCACGAGCCACCTCACACCTTGTAGATTCAAACAGCAACTCTTTATTCCCGAACTCACACTGGCACTCTACATACACGTTCTGGGGAAATCCACACCCCCACTGGGCTCTGTATCCCAAAATACTCTCTGAATCCCGGGAGAACTCAATGGGAACTCAAGGAGCGGGCGTGCCTGAGGCAGCAGGATAGGCCCTATTCCCAGCAGGATACACCTTAAACCTGGAACCGCCCTAAACCCAAGGAGCGCCCTAAACCCGGATCCGCCCTAAACCCGGATCCGCCCTGGTCCTTGAGCAAGGTCACCTTACATGCAATGTCACTTCAAATGACCTGGGTCATGCCATGCTCATTCCTACTTGGCAATGGCTCTCAGCAGAGAAGGAATTCAGAAAACATTTTATAGAGAAAATAATGCTTTAGCTGGCTATTAAAAGGTAAGAATTTTCCAAGTAGACAAAGTGGAAAAGGGGTTCTCTAGACAGAAGATAGACCATTGAACAGTAGAAAGGTATGAGAAAATAAACTATGCATTGAAAATGATTGAACCCACATTATACACTGTAGAGTGAACCATGACACCTGAGGGTAAAAGATGTATATAATTGATTGTATGCAAATGGAATCCCAGTAACCCCATAATACTTATGCTATCATTAGTCTCTTGAGTAGTTCTGCTCAATAAAAACAAAGTGAACCACAAGTATGAGCTACATGCATCATTTAAAATTTTCTTGTTGCCACATTTATAAAGTCCAAAGAAATAGGTAGTATTAATCTGAATAGTGTATTTTAATTAATATAGTCAAGATATTTCAATGTGTTTATAACATACAAATAGTTAATTGGATATTTTACATTATTTTATTCTTTAGAAGACTAAATCTTCAAAATCCAGTGTCTTTTATACTCAGAACATCTTGATTTAGACTAGTATGCAAGTACTCAGAAGCTACATGCGCTTGCTGACTACCATATTGAGTAGTGCAGCTCCAAATAATATAAAGAATATATGAAATCTGAAATGGGATAGTCAAAATTTTTTAAAAATGAAATCTGAATCTTATAAAGTAAATTTGGTGTCCAAAACCAGTGTTTAACTATACTATGTTAAAAAGACCACACTTTTTTAATATTTATTTTTTTGTTAAATTGTGAAAGGGTAAAGTTTCTAAACTGCAAAGCCTGAGTTAAAATGTAAAGGACTAGGTATTTTAAAGTTTCTGAACTGCACACAGAACCTGAAATTCCTGAGGCAGTTAAGACAATGCCCGTTACTGACCATTTAGTTGTTAAATAACCTGGACCCTGTGCAGTTTGGCACGTAGGCATTCAGGGCCCAAACCAATCAGTTTGAATGTACCCCCCCCCTTTAGGACTGACCTATCACCCCCACCTGACCTGTTCCCGCCAATGAATGGACTAATCGTGTTTGAGAGTTGTTGTTCAATTTTCCCGCACCTCATGATGATTTGCTCTGATGTATGCAAAGCCCCCGCCCTCCCCAAAAAGTGTACTTAAGCACTGCTCAACCCCTGCTCAGGGCTCTTGGCCGCTCTCCCTTCTTGAGTGAGCCTGGAGCCCCAGCACGCTGGATTGGATCCTCAATAAATCCCCTTTTGCTGTTGCATGAGTCGGTCTCTTGGTGGTCTCTTCCTCCGACGTTCGCTGGACCCTTACAATTGGACACAATACTTTTATTTTACTAATTTATTTTTTATGTGGCACTGAGGATCGAACTCAGGGCCTCACACATGCTAGGCGAGTGCCCTACTACTATATGTAGGCTTTTATACCAATTAGAGAATCAGCAAAGTTTACATTTTATGTACTGTGTCTTCATTAACCATACTGTAGTTACAACTACTCCCATCTCTATTAACTCTGGTGGTGGACTGTAAATGTAAACTGTCTTTATGGCAGAAATAAAATGCTATAAATTTTGGGTTGAATAAGCTTTTTAAAAAAAAAGTCCTAAAACACAAAACTACCTCTATGCTAGTTACTGTTGAGCATCTTTCGAGTTGTAGAAGCCCAGGGAATTGCTTTTTAATTCCTTCATGCCACTTATTGTGAACAACAAAAATCCACCCCGGCCTTTGTTTGAGGCAGTCACCTATCTAAAGCTATAGCAGTAAGGCACATGCAGCTCTCTCAGTACTGAGAAAGGTCTAAGGAACTAAAATGAAGATATTTAAACACATGCTCTGCAGGTTACTGTGCAATTTCCCTAATGAGATTGGAGCCTTTTTATTTTCAGCAGGACTTGAATGCCAAGGACTGGCAAAACCAGGGCACTCAATTTCCACACTAAAACAAATCCTGAAAACTAGAACTAGAACTCAAAAAAAAAAAAAAAAGTCTGAAAATGATTGCATATGAACAGTTCAAAGTTGCAAAAAAGAAAAAAAAAACTTTTTTTTAAAAAAACCAGATACTTCAATGAAATGCAAACGTCTTCTCATTCCTTCTCAAAACAAGGAAATATCCAGAATGGTTAAGGAGTTCAAAAAGCCAAGAAATCCCAATGAAGCAAGGAAAATCTGTCAATTCTGATGACGTATCAGTTTAACATGTCCAAACCAGTGAACATAAATATTACATGAACCTTAACCTTCTATGTAGAAATGAAGCATGTAGCTCTCATTAAGTAGTCTTGTCAAAAATGAATACAAGCCAGGCACAGTGGCAGATGCCTGTAATCCCAGCCCTTCAGGAGGCTGAGGCAGGAGGATGGAGAATTCAGTCAACCTCAGTAAAAGTGATTCACTAAGCAACTCAGTGAGAACCTGTCTCTAAATAAAATACAAAATAGGGCTGAGGATGTGGCTCAGTGGTTGAGTGCCCCTGAGTTCAATCCCTATTAACAYCCCCTACAAAAAAAAAAAAAATTGAAAACGAATATCAAAGTTTTTTTGGTGTGTGATTTCAAC